ATATATATATATATATATATATATTTATATATATATATATATATAATATATATCTATATATATATATTTAATAATAAAAAAAATTATAAAACCTTTGTTTAATAATATTTCTGGTGCTAAATATTCAGGAGTACCACAAAGTGTATAAGTACGTCCTTCAACTACTTTAGCGAAACCAAAATCAGTTAATTTTAGAAATCCGTCGTCCGAAATTAATAAATTTTCCGGTTTTAAATCTCTATAAATAACATTTTTAGAATGAATATGTTCAAACATGCAAGCAACTTGTGCAGCATAAAAGCATGCATGATCAGATTCTAAAGCTCCTACGCTTCTTAAATAAGTAAATAATTCACCTCCTTATACAAATTCAAGAATTAAATATATGTAACGATTATCTTAACAAAATCCGTCCATTTTTACTATAAATGGATGATTTATATTTGATAGAATGGAATTTTCATTTATTATATGATCGACTTATTTTAGTCTTATTATTTCTGACTTTTTTAATTGTTTTAAAGCGAAAAACGAATTTGTATTCTTCTTTTTAGCTAACTTTACACGGCCAAATGAACCTTTTTATTTTTATTAAAATTAAGTTTGTATTATAAAATTCATACCTGTTCCTAATGTTTAAAATATTTCATAATCAGATAATTTCATTTTTTTAGATTTTTCCATTTTTTATTTTAGTTTTTTTTTAGTTTTTATTTTATTTAAAACTTTTATTTGTAAATTTTATTGTATTGTTTTTTTATGATTGTTTATTTTTTTATTTTATTTTTTTGGATAATTATAAATTTTTTTAAATCAATGGATAACAAATAAAAATAATATATAATTTTTAAGAATTCATACTGAAATGTTTAATGCTATAAAAAATAATGATTTTATAGAAAATACAAAAATAATTATTTAGTTCTTAAATAAGAAAATATAATATTAGAACAATTGTTAATGTAAATATTTGTTTTTCATTATAAAACAAATAAATATATAAATAAATATGTTTATAATATATGATAAATATTATATGTGATATTTGTATTTAATTTTTATTATATTCTAATCTCAAATTAGGTAATATATTTTAAAATACATAAAAAGAAAATATAAAAACTTTTTTAATTAGAAAAATAATATATATATATTTATAATATTTCTATAAATATTCTTTTAAATTATTTTTAATTTCTATTAAAAATATCATTTGTTTAAAAATAATTATATTTATAATAAAAAATTAAAATATATAAAATTTTATTAATAATTAAAATAATAAAAAAAATTAATATAATATATTTTATTAAAATGTCGAGTAATATTAACAAAACATAAAAAAATATAGAATTTTAAATTTTAAATTGATAATGTAATAAATATTAATTTAATCAACCAAAACTTTAATTATTAAAACTTATACTTTAAATTTATATATTTTACTATTATTATTCCTATTATTATAATTATTAATTTTTAATAGGGTCAATAATTAAATTTAAATTATTTTATTAATTAATTTCATACTGGAAATCTTATTATTTATTTTCTTGATAATTATCATATTAACCCTATTCTTATAAATATAAATGCTAATGCTAATTATTATTTTAGAAAGATTTATATTCATAAGTTAAATTATTAAAAATATTTTAAAATCCTTAGTTAACTTCAGTAAAAATATTATTATTATTATTAATATTATTATTATTATTATTATTATTATTATTATTATTAATATCAGCTTAGTTAGTGTTTTTATTTAGAATTTAAAGAATTTCTTAACTATTTTATTTTTTTAATTTTTAACTAAACTAACAGCTTCCTTAAACTTATTCACTTTAATATTTTTATAAAACAGTTTATTAATTATTTTAATTATTAACTTAATATTAATCCAATTATTTTTTTTCATTAACTATTTACATTAATAAATCTATTTTGTTTTACAAGTCATTTATTTGATTATCTTATTATAAAATTTTTATATTTTAAAACTCGCTTGTATTTGTTTATTATTTAATTAAATTTTCTTTTTCTTCTAATTATTATTATAATTATTTAATTTATAAACTTTATTCTATTAGTATTTATTTGTCCAATTCTTATTTTTATTTATATTTTTTAAATAACGATTAAGTTTTTTAAACAATATATTATATTTCTTATATATTTTTTTCTTTCATATCTTTTTATAATATTATATTCATATTTGGTTGATCATAATTTAATATTTCATTATTCATATATTATTATGTATTTTCATTATTATTATTTTAAAATTCATTCTTTTAGAATAAATTGCTAAATAATACTTAAAAATCTTTACTTTATTATTTACTTGTACTATTTTTTTATTTATCATTTTTTTCACTACTTTACAAAATGCTATTAATTTTTATATAATTTTCATTTCTAGGTTAAGAAAAATTCAGTTATTAATTACTTGCATTTATTTCATTAAAGTAACTATTCGAAGTACAATAATTTCTGGAAAGTGATTATGTCTTTTTATGTATTTAATTAGAATGTTTACTCGAAAAAATTTCTGTGTCACTCTCTTCTTCTGAATTCGAGTTTTTCCTTTAGCTGTTTTCCTTTTTTTTCCTTCTTTTTTTTTCACTACTTGTTACTAATTTAATATTGTTTTTTTAATTTAATTAGAGTTAGGTAAAATTCCCTGTTCTATTAGACTCTGAATTTTATATAACTTAGTTTTATATTAATTAAAGAATTTAACTATTTTATACTTTTTCTTTACTGGATATTGCGAATATTTTATTGTTATAACCGTTTGAATTATTATTTGAATTTATATTATTGCTAAAACTTTATAATAATTATTCATTTTAATTAAATAACTGTTATTTTTGTTATGTTGGACTGTTTTAGACACTTTCTTTATAATAATTTTAATATAAATTTTATGCTAATTCTTTTTAGTTAAAATTTTTTATTTCATTTATTTTTTGTATAAATTTTTAAACACCTTCATTTATTTAGGTTTTTTATTATATATTATTTGTATTATTATTAGTGTTTTAATTATTTAATCGTTTTATCTTTTATTATATATTACAATTTTTATTATAATATTCTTAAATTTTAACTTTACCTTAGCCTTAGTAATTATATTTATGCATATAATTATTTAAATTATTATTAATATTATTATTACTAATATAGTTATTACTACTATTCATATTATTATTTGTATTAATATTAAGATTATTAGTATTAGTATTATTCGTATTCGTATTTGTATTATTATATGATTATTAATTTATTTATTTTTATTAAAAAGTCGTTAACATAAATTTATTTTGATTTAATTATTATTTATTCGAATCAAAGCAATGATTATATATATTTAATTATTCACAATTAAATTTATTTTAAATAAGATTATTTTTTTAAGAATCATTATATTAATTACTTGAATCATACTTCAGTACTTTTTTATCTATTTGCTTTTATTAATATTTTTTATATTTCTCTGTACTTGGACTATTATATAAATGTAAATATTTAGGCGATAATTCTAATTTATTATCTGTCGTATTTTTTTAAGTCTAAATTTAATTTTTTTTCTAATCTTCTTAATTTGATGATTTATATTTTTATTATTGATTTATTATTTAATTTTTTTATATTTTTTTATGTTTTGGGCTATAATTATTTGCTAATTAATTATTAAAATCATTTGATGATTTTCTAATATTTTAATTATTGCTTTTTGATTAAATAGCTTTATTATTACGGTTCGATTGATTATCTGGAGATATATATTTATTTTCATGAATTTGTTTTTATGTTAAGTATTTCGCATTAGATTATTAGTTTATATTTTTTGCTGCATTTAAGGTCGATGAACATTCATTATTTCTAAATAAAGGACTTGTAAATCCATTCTGGATATCTGAGTAACTTCTTCCAAACATTAATTATGAATAATTTATTTTTTAAATACTTTTCGTAGTTGAATTTGACATTTTATTCATTATTTTATTTTTACTAATTATATATATTTATTTTTTAATTTAAATTTCTTTTTATTTTTTTTTTTGATTTTTTTTGATTTTTTTGATTAATTATGTATGTTATTATTGATTTTTTATTTTTATTATAATTTAAATATATCAGATAAAATTAATATATAATACTAAAGTCTAAAAAAGTAGAAAATATTTTTAAAACTATATTTTTATTCAAAATTAAACAATTAAATATATAGATTATAAATTATTTTATATACAAACTATAATATATTATACATTTATAATTATTTTATTTTTTAAAATATTTCATTATATATTTTAATTATCTAAAAAACTTTACAATTTATTAACTTTATATACTAATTATTATAACATATTTTCATAATCAGATATTATTTATTAACTTTAAGTATATTTATCAAAAAACGCATTTTTTATTTAATTACTAGACTCTTAATATTAATTTTAATTATATATTTATTTTTAATTAATTTCTTCTATATTAATATCATATTCGTTTTTTATTTTTTATACTTCGATAAAATCTTTAATTTCAAAAGAAGTGTTTATTTCTTATTCTTTTTTTTCTTTTTAAAAATAAAAACTTGTATTAACACCAATATCAATATTTTAAATTAATAACTTTTATTACATATTAATATCGTTTTTATTTTCCTAAATAACACTTTCTACATTATTTTCAGGAAAAAATAACTCTAAACTATTAGTATCTAAAGAAAAATTACTGTCTTAAATACTTTTTATTTATTTATGTAAATTATCTAAACTAATAAATTATTCATTTTCTAAATTCTAAAATTATTAATTTACTTAATTATCAAATATTTAATGATCTTGAGAATTATTTTTCGATTATTATTTAATAATCTAATTTTAATTCGAAATATTTTAAATTTAATTAGAAAGCTCGGATTATAAATATTTTTATTCTTTATTTATATGCAGTTAAGGATCATTTTATAGATTTTTAATTGTTTTTTTTTGTTAATGAATTAATTTTTTTAATCTTTATATTTTTGATTTTTAGGTGGATATTTTTAACAAATTTTTATCAATTTAAGATTAAAAATATAATTTTATATTATAAATGTTCTTTTCATTTTTTTTTTAAATACTTTATATTTCTTACTTTAAAGATTTTATTTAATTTTATTATTTAGTTTATAAAAAAATACAATTTTTAGGACATTCTTTATCATTTTATTTTATTTCATCTTTTTATTCAAAAAAATTGTTTTTTGATATATTGTTGGAATAGTTTTCTTTATATTTTAAATGTTTAATTATTAATTGAGGTTCATCTATCATTTTTTGTTATTTTTCTTCTTTATTTCTACAATAACTTTGCATTAGTTTATGTATTCTGCTATAAGCAGAAGAAGGTCTTTTCATTTT